GTTTAAAAAAGTGAGTTGATTTGTTATATTGAAATGTCTCCTGGGTGAGGAAAAATACAATTCAATACAAAAAATACAACTTCAATCCTCAAAAAACATTCAAGGACTTTCAAGGGCAAGTGTATTTTTTTTGGCTGTTTTGACAAACTTTCCACGGCCTTGAAATCTTTTTTTTTAATTCACAAACTTTCAAGGACCCGTGGGAACCCTGGTAAAATAAATGAGTAAGCTTGATCTGCATTTCTCAGTCACCACTTTAAAATTCATCCATACAGCTTTGAGTTTTTATCCACACACACTGAAATGAGACCAAAAATCTAAAGGGATTTGTTGCACCGCTACCAGACCACAGACAAGAGTGTACGGATACCTACATACTTCTCAAAAGTAAAGTTATGAGGAAATCACGAGTTCTTTCTATGGGAAGAATAAAATCCTCTCTGTGTAAATATGAGAAAAAACACAATAATTTACTGTACTCAGTAGTTCAAGTTTTCTAAAATAAATGATATTTATTTACAGAATAAAACAAACTACTTATGTACAAATTACTGTGAGCAATCAGAATTTTTACGAGTTAAAATATCCACAAAAACCACGTACGMGTCCGTACTAATCARTGTAAATATTACACTCAGACAGAACAGCAAACTTCAGGTTAAGATGTTGAGATGTTTACAGGCACATGAAACTTATAAATATGTGAAAAACCAGAACACTGGATATCTGCAAATGCTTCAGTCCAACTCCGATGCGCTTGTCAAAACGTTCAGCTTTACCTTTTGGTGTCTCGACCGCCAGGTTAAGCGTGTGGGAAGACTTCAGGTGAGTTAGAGCCCGGTCAGGACTGCCTCTCTTCTTCAGTAAAACCTCCAAGTTTTGCTCCACAGCGTCTTCTGGAATCTGCCTCGGTCCATCAGAGACAGCCAAGTTCATCTTAGGTTTTTCTCTCTCAGAAATAAAAACTTCTCATCAGAAGTTTTTAAATAATGGAGCTTCAAAGCTGGGTTGAATCACGACTGATGGTGCCTTGACTCGATAGGCAAGGACTTGCTCATTGGCATAAGAGCCAAGTCAGTGCCAAAAGGCTGATTTTCCTGAGTAGCTCAGGGAGAAGAAAAATGGTCTTTTCTCATCTCTTCAATTTTTCTTTCTGTCGAGGCTTCATCAGTGTGAGTTTTTCTAAAGAGAAGAAGTTAGAGACGATGACCTCGACTTGTTAGTTAGGAGGATGTAAAGTTTAGACTAGAGTAGCTGAATAACAACTACGCACCTGGTTCAGAAAAACAAGTTCAACTTTGAACGATTAAACACTGAATGAAAATRGACCACAGTTCACTGGAACATAAGAGAATCATTTAAACTGAAATAAACCTTAAAATATTTGTCTATGATTCAAATACAAATACTTTTATGTAAGAACAGTATATTTCATAATATAACAGTGAAGTCATAATCACAACTATCAATTTAGTTAAATTGAAAAAATCAGAAAAAATTTTTTTACTGTAAAAACAATAGCTGATTAAACAAAGATTTGTGTAAGACAAATAAACGTGAAAACAATTTTCTTTTTGTGTTTTTTTCTTTTTCTTAATTATAATGTAAAATATTGTCATTCTTTTCATTATGTAACTTTGATTTACAAAATAACTTGTAGTTAAAAAGAAAGTATACATCAAAAATACAAAGAACATTATTATTTTGTTTATTAAAGAAAATACAGTCTCTTTTGAGGAAGGTCTTTTTAAACCAGGGTCAATGACAAGTGGAAATGTTTATTTACCCTCTGGGTGAGCCTTACAAGAGGAAGAAAGTGGATGGATGATTCAGAGCCCAACAAATAATTTTCAAGCACAGATGTCAGGTTTTTAACTAGTCAACCCAAAACATGGTCATTTTTGCTGAACTCTGTAAAGCACGACTGATTATCATGCAGGGTTACTTTAAGTTTAGCTCATAATGTTGACAAAATTTCGTAAAACTGATCCAGAAAGTCTGAACACGATGTTCCTCCTGATAATCTGTAAATGTTATCAAACTATAAATGTTAGCTTTACTCAACAGGTGTGAAGAAACGGTGAAGAAAAAGGACAAAAAGAGGTCTTATCTTTGTACGTTTCAGTAAAATCTACTTTAATACACTTTGAAACAAGAGTACAACAAAATAGAATATACTTCAAATGTTGAATATACAAACAGTCCATTCTGAACACAGAAAAACTTCCCTCTTAAAAAATAAAATAAAAAAGAATGAAATGTCAGAGCAGGACCAACAGGGCAGAAACTGACCAAAGATCCAGTGGTTACAGCTTTTCTGCAGCAGATTTTGCTTCCTATAATTACTAATGCAGATTTTTTTGAGTTTTAACATCCTGTTTGATGGAAACTTGGCAGTATGTGTTGGCTCAGTCGCGTGTTTTTCCTGACTTTAGTTGCTGCAGAGAACAGAGCAAACATCTGTACAAAACAAAAAAACTAAAACTGATTTGATGGGCTGCCAGAGGACATGTCAGGTAAACGGCAGCATCGAAAACTGCATCAGTTCAGCGTTTCAGTAATACTGTGACTGGTACAAAATATCAAAACAAATTTCAGCTTAACGGTGAAATGATGAAAAGAAAATCTAAGGCGGTTCTGTTTACGTTAGCTCTGTAAACTGTAAAGATATTTATATATATATATATATAACTATGTACATTTTCCTGTCTTATCGTTCCACACACTCCATCCTCCACTTTTTTTTTGCACAGTGATACAAGTTTAAAAAAAGAAGTTGCTGGTTTTAACATTTGAAATTTACAGTAAAAAGAACCCCCCTCCTTTATTTTATTTTATTTTATTAATTTTGGTTGCAGTCATTTTGTTTGTAGTGTTTAAGTTCCTCGTCTTTCTGCTGTCATTTCTGTAGTGGTTCAGTTTGGTCCCTTTGCTTTCCTAAAAACAAACAATCACTTTAAAGTCTGTGTATTCAGGGATCAGGGCACCTTCAGGAGGTTCTGTTGAAGTTCTAAAGGAAATGGGAGTTGTCCAGTTAGGTTCTAGGCAGCGACAGGGGTAAAGTCAAGACATTTTCAGGACTAAAAAGTCCTTCAGGAGTCTCAAGTCTTGCAGACGGCTGCTGATAAGAATGACTTCAATGTCCAAACTAACTTTAACACTCGGGTTCTTCTGTCTTTATTGCCATCGGTGCTTCCAGTTTTCCCACCCCGTCAGTGTCCACGGCTTCAGAGCTCACATTCCGAGTGGTTTTAGGGTTGGCCTGGTTCTGCTGGACTGTCACRGGTACCTGCAGGGCCTGGACCTGGATGCCCACGGCCTTGCCTCCGGCTCCTCCTATCACCAGCTCCGAGCCGCTGATGACCCCGCTGAGGATGCGAGTCGTGGCCGTGGACACGGTGGGAGCGCAGCTGACGCTGCCCGGCTGCGACACCACCAGAGTCTGCGGCTGTGCCTGCGCGGGCACGGTCAGCCTCATCACCTGCGATCCCGGGGCCACGCTGACGGGCGTCAGGGAGCGCACCGCCAGGGAGCCGCCCAGGAGGCTGAGGCCCGTGGGGGTGGCAGTTACGCCGGGTTTGTTGCTTCCTGTGGAGGTCTGGAGCTGGCACTGGGCCAGCTGGTGGGCTGGGATGGTGATGATCTTGGCGAGCTGGACGGTGATCTTGTCTCCGTTCTCTGCTGTGGCCGGGACCATGGTGGGGATGGTCTGGATCACAACCTGATGAAGAACAAATCATTTTAAACAACTTCTAACAGGAATATGCTGATACCAGTACTGGGTATTGTTTAATACATACACTAACTGTTGTATTTGTGTACAATTACTCAAAAGAGTAGTTCCTCTGGACCAGCAGCATTTTATTCTATTGTAATCTGTCAGGATATTTTGCACACCTTCTGTTGTGAGTTGGCATTGGCGCCAATGGCAGACGTGTTGGTGAGCAGGGYGGTGGAGCCAGCAACCCCCGTCGTCCCCACCGGCTGCTGCACGGCCACCGTGGGGATCTTCTGACCCAGTGACGTGGTCATGACCACCGGCACCTGCATAGCCACTCGCACCGTCCTGCGGATAAGAAATCAGTACTTTTTAAAAAAAGAGAAAATCAAAACGTGACATTTGCAGAAGCTCTGACCAGAGTCATTATAGTTCACTACAACTAACTGAAAAAACATTTTAGTTAACTAAAATAAATACTGTAATAAAATGAAAAAACGATAACTAAAACTGTATAATCTTTTTACAAAACAAACCAAAACTAACTGAAATTATAGATAGAATATCCTTAGTTTTAGTGTTTGTCTATTTATTTTGAGACATGTGGATCTCTTATTTTAGGAAGGTGTTGCTATATTAGACTGCTTTAGCTAGTGACCAAATAGCTGTTGGTTAGTTAACTCACAGGAACATCACAAGATTAAAGATGCAGTGGCAAATATGTTTATCAAACTATAAAAATACTGGTATCACTTTACAATAAGGCTCCCCTTATAGATGGCTTATAAATAGTTAGTTCATCTGTWAACACTTTATGAATCTTTAAGAAGTGTTTATTATGCATTAATTAAGGATGCGAAAGAAACAAAACTGTCTGGTTTCTTGCCAAATAGTGAGCCAAATCTGTTCATGTTCTTATTACATCTAAAAGGTGCTACATATATTAAACATTTCAGACTAGGTTTCTACCTTGTAYGCACAATCATGTATTGGAATAATAGTGCAATAATACAGTACAATATTATATGTAAAATGTGTTTACAATATATTATTGTGCTTACAAGGTAAAAACTTAGTCTGAAACGTTTAATGTAGCAGCTTTAGATGTAATATGAACAGATTTGTCTCACTATTTGGCAAGAAACTGGACCGTTTTGTCTCTTTCTCATCCTTAATTAATGCATAATAAACACTTAATAATTTATAAAATGTTTACAGATAAATTAATAAACTATAAGCTCTATAAGGGGAGCCTTAATGTAATACTAGAACTAATAAAAACTAAACTAAACTAAAACTAAGCATTAAAAATGCAATAATAACTAATAAAAACAATCAAATCCACTGTAAAAACCAAATTAAAACTAACTGAATTAAAAGAAAAAAGTCAAAACTAAATAAAACTGAACTATAATGAAAAATCCAAAACCTTRGCTGTGACGTCACTGCAGGAGTCTTACCTCGGTCCTGTTGTATTCGAGATCATAGACGCGTGAGACTGCTGGGGCTGGATCCCGTCGGGTCCTGCAGAAACCGTCACGATCCTCGGTGTTGCTGCCGTCACCACGGGTCCGCCCCCCGGGGCTGCCTTGCTGCCTGCCGCAGCAGAGGTTTGGACCACGTTGCTTTTGTTGGAGCCTCTCAGGATGTTGGGTTTCCTCAGAGGCGGCCTGTCCACGGCCTGGACCAGTATGTCGGACGGTGGACGCACGCGCTCGTACGACGCTGCTGCTTCTGACTTCACCAGCTCGTCAGGGGAGGACACATCTGCCTTGTCGTCGTCGATGATGACGATGTTTTTGGGCATGTCTTTGAACTGGTAGACCAGTCGCTGGCCCTCCACTTTGGCAAGGATGCCACGCTGGTAATAATATCTGCAAACGGTTCAATTATCAATCAATAAAAGTATTTATTTTAAAAAACAAAACCTGCTCCTGAAACCCCTCCACAAGTCTGTACCTGAGAGCTCGACCCATGGTCTCGTAGTTCATGTCGGGCTTGTTCTTGTGTTTGCCCCAAAGCTTGGACACGGCCTTCGAGTCGACGAGTTTAAAGATGCCCTTCTCCCTCTGTGTCCACTTGATGTACCTGGGACAGGTGTTTTTATCCTGGAGGAGATCCAGCAGGAACTCCCAGAGGTACGTGGTGTTCCCAGCTGGAAATAAAAAAAATGCACCACTGAGCACCAACCTCCCACCTCCAGAGCATTAAAGAATCACGTCAGTAACAAAAACATGACTGTTTTATACACTCCTACGTACCTTTGCCTTCTCTTGGTTTCTTCTTGATACCCAGATCTAGTGAACCATTGGAAACAGCTGCAGTTGCTTGATGTGTCTTCGGTTTGCGTCCAGCTATGAAAAAAWAATAATAATTTAGAGAAACTCTGGGTTCCTACAAAACTTACATTTTAAGATTTATTTTAGCTGAGCAATAAATGTATATCTTTTTATTTAAAATGGCCAGGAATTTTTAATAAATGATATTAATGATCTGACCACTAGATGGCGATCTTTAATAACAGATTTCTGGAGTTTCAGAGCAGACAGTTCAATTTAAACCTCCCCCAGACTTATTTAAAATACAATTTTTAAGCTTGGTGTTTAATATACATGAACTTTCTACAGAGTTATCAACAGTTTTGACATTTTAAAAATGCTGTTTGGTTCGTGTACCTCGCTTCTTTCTGACAGGCTCCTCGAAGTCGTGTTCTGGGTCTTCCATTAAGGTACCGATCTCATCTTCCTCCTCATCCTCCTCGCAGCACTCTTCAGTCGATATCTCCACCTCTGATATCATGTCAGGCCTCATGGCGGCGTGGAGGAAATCTGGTGTTGCTCCACATTGAGGAATAAAAGCTTCTGGATGGTAGAATTAACACAAAATGATTTTAAAACAGTTTTGCAGCCCTTTCTGAGAGTTAAAAATATGACATCAACTTACATCAACCAAGGAAATTAAATAAACTGCTTTATTTTTTTTATCAAGTCTAAACATTTGTAAACACACAGATTTATGTTTAATCTAGTCTAATCTGATCTAAACCTAATTTCCCTCTGTGATAATAAAGTATTTTTGAATGGAACTGAATTAAATTAATGTCTTACCTGGGCTACGCTCTTCTTTGAGGCTGGATGGTGAGTCCATGCGAAGCAGAGCTTCTGCAGCCTCGAAGGTTTTATCAGAGCAGTGGATGTTGGTGCCATGAACAGAAGCTTCCACTACAAAAATAATTTTAAAAAATCAATTGGTAAAGCATTTCAATTACAAAAAACCTTTGAGTTACACTCATCTGAACACCTCTACAGGTAAGAAAATCATCCCGGTTGTACCAAATCTAAGTACAAACCAACCACAAAATGTGTTTTTACATTACTTACACAATAAGTTTACACAGTTTAATCAGTGCTAGCTTTCACTTCATATGTAGTTAGGTAAAAGCACAAATGTGATTGAACAGGAAGAAACTAAAACTTAAAGTCTGTTTGCCTCTTTAAATAAACAAAACAATATGGTGTACACATAAATTTAGTAAAGGAAGTCTTGTGTCCTCTGAGACCTGCAGGGGGAACCCAGGGCACCTGCTGCTGTCGTCAATCACCAGTGGGAAACATGAGGAGCCATTACACCCTGCCCAGTCCATGTTTGGGTATCTGACCATGCACATGAGACAAGTGGGCTATCTTTAGAACCGCCCCACTCATTCGGACCCCCTGTCTAACAAACAGGACGGCCTTCTGTCAAACATACAACCACAAGAAGGCATGAAGTGAAAAATGTTCCCAATCTCAAGTAACACTAATTCTTTTGTTATTCCTTAAAAATATAATAAATGCAATAAATTTGATAATGCACAACTAAATGTACAGGTGCTAAAAAAATAAAATGATCCTAATAACTTCTAGCAACAAGCAAGAGGAACACAAAGTAGTTCTGCTGATTTCCGTGTTTACACTCCTCATGATTTCCCTCCAGTTCTGTTTGAAGGAGCTCACAAAATCCCCTGTCACTCAACACCGACTGGCCCGACCATTGGTTGAGGCGGGGCGTTAAGGCCCGCCTCCGCTGTGCGCTGATTGGACGCTTGCAGGGAAGAAAGCGAAGCGATCCGGGCCGTCCCACGCGTCCACGGAAGACTGCAAAATACGATTAACGGAAGCCTCGACAGCAAATAATTCAACCCCATGCGATTAATAATGGCTGTAAACGAAGCTCGCCGCATTGTACTAAAAATTATAATATTACACAATAATTGTACTTTTCGGGGGGATTCATTGTGAAAGCGTTTTAGCAGACAATTAATCAAGTACAATCTGTAATAACGATGAATATGAGTAAGCACACCATCACGTTATATTTGGTGATTGTTCGTGGGAAAATAAACACACATGTCCTTCCGACCCAGACAGCGTGGCAAAGACAACAACTGCACACTTCCTGGTTGTCCAAATCGTTATTCAACCTCATCCAGCTGCGGACAAAACAACAACCAACATATGCAACACACGTTTCATGCACACACGAACCTAACCGCGCACAAATACGCGTCCATGTGCGGGKTTTTTAACATTTTTAAAGCGTGTTTAATCTCCGCGCAGCAGCGCCATGCAGGTCGATCACTTCCTGAATCCCTCCATTACTTCGCCGCGGCGGGCGGGATGCGACGCTTCGGTCGAGGCTGAAAACAACAGCCGGCCCGACGACGGCAGAACCCGAGTCGAGGTTCCGAGAAGGCGAACGCATATTTACCGGCTCTGATGAGCAGATCGAGCTGGTTTTCGTGGCCATCATGCTGCGAAGTCGTCATGTTTTTCACCTTTGCAGATTCACATTGACTCCTCACTCTTCGTATCACTCCGCCGCTAAAGGGAAATCTCAACGAGACGCATCACCGAGGCAGAGACRTATCCCTCCGCTACCCACACAGGAAATCCTCCCTCCGTTGCGTAAGCAGTACGTCAAATCCAGCTACATTTTTTCCCCTCCAAACTTTATTYATTTGGACATAAAATTATGACAATGTGCCAGATGTAGTATTTCTGTACACACGGTACCTAAATGTCTACAACACGTGTTCCCTATTTATCAGGTCACTAATGTACAAAGAAACAGACAGCAATCTAGTTCCAGTCCATTAACTGGGTGCATATTTTAAACATGGCAACATTCTTGTTCCAGAGATAATTATTACAATTATTTGGTACAAGTTAATGGAAGTTAATGGGAACAGAAAACCAGCAAAACATTTGGATGATCTTATTCATTTAAAGGCCCTCAGATAATTTAAGACCAAAAGTCTGAAAATGTTTTAGAGGCTTTCAATTCTCAAGTGAAATATTAGCTCATTAATATAAGAACATTATAATGGTTTATATAGAAACAAATTTTCCTCCTCTTGATGTATGTTCTTTGTTTTCGTTTATTATTTTGTATTTTTTATTTCATTGCAATATTGTTGGTTTTTGGTTTGTTCCAGACTATTAAGCTTTCTTCAAAGCCTCATCAGGGACCTCCATAAAGCTGTAGGCTTAAAACAACTACTGCATTGTTTTATGTGCGACACTGTTGTTGTGCTGTACCTGCAGACTTGAGGAGAGAACGTGACACAAAAAAAGGGAAGACATTAATGAGGTAATGTAAACAGCTGTTAGAATAGCAGATCTGTCTAAAATAAATCCACAAGGTGGCAGTACGGGAACACAGACCWGTCAGAAAAACAACTGGCAGCTAGACTCAGAAATCATGTGTTCAGCTAAAACCACAAAACATGTTCTGTCATACCCAACAAGATCAACAAAACATAACTTAGGATTTATTTAAGTGAAGCACAGATCTTAACCATAGACGTTTTTGTAGCCAAAACATAGAAAAAGTTGTATTTTTTGAATATTCCCAAGGATTCTTTATGTCGATGATGTCCCTGGAGGTCCTAGAACTCCACTCAGGACAGAGTGTGTTCAGACAACCTAACATATGCAGACAAAAGGTCAAGACCCCTCTGAAAGTGATCTGAGGGAAACGTTTTCAGGACATGTTGTAGTTCAGACTTGAATTTAACACTCTCCAATTTAAACTGCATAGATTAAAATAAAAACAGGTCTGTACAACCTCTTGGTGTTTTTCCTGTTAGCGGAGTTGTGTCAGTTCAGCTTTTTAATTTTCAACAACGTATTCCTCCAACATAAATCCACTCTCTTCTCTCTCCTGGTCCTCAGCCTTAAAGTGGACATCTCCTGCTTTTAAATCCTTCCGCTTTGGTCTTAATTCCTCCTTATTCTAACAAAGCAGCCCCTCTTTCACCCAATTTCTGATGTGTGTCTCAACGCAGCTCGTTTTCAGGCTGTTTGAGTTGAAAAATATGATCCAAAAAGAATTTAAAGATGTATTTGCAGCACCGGGAGAGACTAAATTCAACATTTCTGCCTCCATGAGACTCTGAGCACACGACAAAAAGTGGATGTTCCTTTTAAATCAACCCATAAATCAAAGTGTTCACATCTTGTCAAACGGAAACCAACTCATAAAACCAGAAAAGGAAATAATCTCACCTCCTGCTTCTTCCATCTCCACCTCCTGCATGATATATGCCTCATCTCCACACATCCACACCTGGGCTGAGTAACCTCGCTCCTCGGTCACGACCACGCCTGGAAGCTCCTCCATTACGACCGGTGGGCACTCGTCAGCCTTTTCTCCTTCCTCACACACCTCCTCGGCTTCACACTGGCCCTCCACCTCCCCTTCCTGCTCCATACTGACCTCATACTCCACATCCTCTGGCTGGGAGAAAACGAACAGAAGACGTAAGAGTTCACACCGTATTTTTTTGCAGAAAAAGTGTTTTCATGTAGTTTGTGTGTGAAATTTACCTGCTGGAGGTCGCCTTCAGCTGTGACATATTCCAGCAGGGTTCCACCGGAGTCGACCAGCACCACCGAGGTCATGATTCATGCTCGTCAGAGTCCAGCAGCTCCTTCCTGCGGCCTCCACGTGCACGGTAAACAACAGCCACTAAAAAACAGAACAACACACTTATTAAATTACAATTCTAAAGAAATCAATACATCTTGCAATAGAAGTCAATAAAACAAAGTATATGTCAGTTAAGAAAGACAAAAGTTATCTGGCTGTCGTGGTGAAGCGAGAGCTGAGCCAGAAGGTGAAGCTCTCAGTTTACTGGTCGGTCTACGTTCCTACTCTCATCTATGGTCACAAGTTTTGGTAGTGACTGAAAGAAGGAGATCACAGCTGAAATGGGTTTCCTCTGCAGGGTGTCTGGGCTCTCTCTTAGAGATAGGCTGAGAAGCTCAGTCATCCAGGAG